GAGAAGAAATTCTCAGAAATTTTCTTGTCCCAGGTTTTACAGCAACCTTTGATTTTTGTGAGGACCAAGCACATAGAAAATTTTATGTCTGTAGATCAGAGCAGGCAGTGGTGATTCGTGAGTGTAGTGCAGCCTAGAAGGTTTAATTTTGCAAATATAAAAAGCAGCAGAAAGCAGAGGCACTGTAAAAGGAATTACAGCAACAGAAACAGTGGTAACAGAATGTAAAAGCATTGCTTTTCCTCAATTTGTTTTACTAGTGAAACATTATTCTTTTAGAGGAGCCCATGACGTATGAGCTATGATACTATCTATGCCTACTTGATCATATTTTATTGTTCTGTGTGTTTTGTTTTTTGTTTTTCTGGGTTTTGTTTGTTTGTTTGTTTGTTTTGTTTAGGTTTTTTTTTTTTTTTTACAAAAGAAAAAGAAAATGCTTACTGTGGTTCTTCTAGCTTTTCTTGAAAGCCACTGATTGATTCAGTGCAAGCATGTAATTTTTCTCTTTTCAGCCAAATACGCTGAGGACTCTTGCTCAGGTCTGATGTCTTCTGCATTTGAACCCTGTCACCATGAAGTCAATCCCACTCCCTATGTGAAGAACTGCCGCTTTGATGTTTGCTCCTGCTCCAATGGCAAGGATTGTCTGTGCTCTGCTATTGCTAATTACGCAGCAGCCTGTGCTAGGAAGAGCATCCTGGTCCAGTGGAGAGAACCTGACTTCTGCCGTAAGTGAAATGCTCCTAAAACCCACTTATTTTCCTTGTCTCAAAGGAATTTCTTGGCAACGTGAGATGAGAAATCTAGAATGACATGATTTCTGCAAGCTGCCAAATATTTATTATGACAAGTGATGAGAGAGTGTATCTTACCTCCACTCTAGCAAGGATGCAAAAACTGTTCACAGAAACTGCTCAGCACTGGGGGAGAGCAGCAGTCATCTGACATACCTCAGCTGAGCTTTTGACTGGATTTCCTTTTTCAGCTGTATTTAAGTTTCAGCTACTCACCTTGAAACTTTCTGAATATCCTAGGGTAGGAATCTCCAAGTGATTTTTAGTAATGCATAAATTGCTTTTTTTGGTACCTCCTTCTTTCGAGACCCAGGCTTCCCAGCTCCTGACCTCATCAGTGACTCCTGACTTTAGTCAAAATTGAGGGTATGGAAGAAGCACAAAGGCAGGTACTCAATCAAGTGGTTGTCACAGAACAGAATCATACAAGTATAAACAAACTTGTATCAGAAGGGACCTCTGTCAGTCTTCTGATACCACCCCTGCTCATAGCAGGGCTAACTTACAGCAGATAGCCTGGGGTCTTGTCTGGACAAGTTTTGAACATCTCCAAGAATGGAGATCGCACAACCTCTCTAGTGTCTCCCTCTCTCTCACCCTGCTGGTGCAGAGATCTCTGTCAGATCTCATTTTCTGTACAGCTGTTCAGCTAGTGGGTGAACATAATTTTTCTAACCACATATGAGCTCCCTTCCTCCTTCTCCTTGTAAATTCTAGTGTGATGTGGCATCTGGTTAAAGATGAGCTCCTGAACCTTGATCAACAGGCTGTGGGTGGCGTCGCTGAGCTAGGCAAACACAAGCTTTGTCTGTGGCATTTTGTGTAGATATCCTATGAGAGTCAGCAAGAGTTGAGTTTTGAGTTCTCCTGAGGCTTGTTTGCAAGTTGCCACCTGTAATAAATGGTCACTCTGGTTCAAACGTTTGGATTCTAAAAGATGAGATGTTGCAAGAGGATAGAACGAAAATTCAGACTGCGTGCTTGAGTTATAGAGTTGGGGTAGCAGAAAGAATAGGATTTTTTTGCATAGATCAGTCCAGTGCAAGATTAATAACCGAACTGCTAAGAAGGTGGAGCAAAAGAAGCCAAGATATTTTGTTTCTTTTCTTTCTCTGTTAGGTCAGTGTGGTAGGAAAAAATCCATTGCAATGGATTTTTGATGGAATGTGGACACACTTTTCCCCATAAATATTTGTGAAATGGATGTTTTCCCATTTTTCTGAGCAATGTTGCTATTAAGGAAAGAAGACAATTGAAAATTTTTGGGAAAAACATGTATGCTTGGCAGCCCTCCAGATCTATTCTGCTACTTCTTCCCAAACAGGGGGTGGGAAAAACATTTATAAACTGAGTGTGTAGAAACTGAAAGAGAGACAGAAAGAGAAGTCACTGGCCTTCCACCTGGTGGGGTCTGTATCTGTAAGGTCAGTGACTACAGCTTCTGCAAGATGGAGAGTATTTACTGCGAATGAGAACAAAACCAGTTTATGTTAAAGTGCTGCATGGTTTCATAATATTTTACCTAATTTATGTAAATGTTCAGATAGTGGAACAGTAATGTAATAAAAATCCTTTTAAAAATGTGCAGGTCTGGAGGCTGAAAGAAAGAGCAGCGGTAATGCACCATCGTTCTTTCTGTAATTGAACAAGTCAATTTTCACAATTAATCTTTAATAGTGCAGAGCTGCTTCCTCCTTTCTGTGCATTACAGAGCGCTTTGTGCTCTCATAAAGTGACGATTTCCCTGATTGCAGATCCATCAGCCCCCATTAAATAATGCTGATGCCCTAGATGTCTCCTGTCACATGAAGGAGAATAATCCCTCTTTTAATGGGCTTGAGACGTGAATGTGCAGGTTCTGTAATTTGTGCTGATGGCCCAGTGCACTAAACACATGCTCTGCTCCTGCCTTGGTCAACTGAGGTTCAGTTTCTTGGGAAATGACTTGACAGAACTGGTTTGCTTGATTTGAAGTGGATAAGTGGCAGGGAGGTAGGTCATTAGTGTAGCACAGCATTTCTGCTGTGTGTTAAGCTAACAAGCACATTCATCTCCCATTTGAAGCTATTTTAGATGCAGTTTGATTGTTTAAGAGCTGACTCATACCCCTGTAGCCCACCATGAATAAGCAACAGAGCCAATCCCTTCATGCTGCATGGAAGGAGCAGATAGGCCATACTGTGAAGGACTGTCTCTCTCATGCACATTCATGTAAAAAACTGGGTAAAAAACTGGCTAGATGGACAAGCCCCAAGAGCGGTGGTGAATGGAGTTCAATTCAGTTGGTGGCTGGTCACAAGTTGTGTTCCTCAGGGACCAGTACTGGGGCCAGTTCTGTTCAATATCCTTTACCAATGATCTGGATGAGAGGACTGAGTGTACCCTCAGTAAGTTTGCAGATGACACTAAGTTGGGTGGGAGTGTGGACCTGCTGGAGGGTAGGAAGGCTCTGCAGAGGGATCTGGACAGGCTGGATTGATGGGCTGAGGCCAATTGTATGAGGTTTAACAAGACCAAGTGCCAGGTCCTGCACTTGGGTCACAACAACCCCATGCAGCGCTACAGGCTTGGGGATGAGTGGCTGGAAAGCTGCCTGGCAGAAACGGACCTGGGCGTGTTGGTCAACAGCTGGCTGAACATGAGCCAGCAGTGTGCCCAGGTGGCCAAGAAGGCCAACAGCATCCTGGCCTGTATCAGAAATAGTGTGGCCAGCAGGAGTAGGGAAGTGATCATCCCTCTGTACTCAGCACTGGTGAGCCGTACCTCGAATACTGTGTGCAGTTTTGAGCCCCTCACTACAAGAAAGACATCGAGGTGTGTCCAAAGAAGGGCAACAAAGCTGGTGAAGGGTCTAGAGCACAAGTCCTATGAGGAGCGGCTGAGGGAACTGGGGTTGTTTAGTTTGGACAAAAGGAAGCTGAGGGGAGACCTTACTGTTCTCTACAACGACCTAAAAGGAGTGAGGTGGATGTCAGTCTCTTTTGCCGAGTAGCAAGTGATAGGACAAAAGGAAATGGCCTCAGGTTACGCCAGGGGGAGGTTTAGATTGGTTATTAGGAAAAAATTCTTCACTGAAAGGGTTGTCAGGCTGCCCAGGGAAGTGGTTGAGTCACAATCCCTGGAGGTATTTAAAAGACACGTAGACGTGGCACTTAGGGACATGTTTTAGTGGTCAACTTGGTAGCGTTAGGTTAATGGTTGGACTGGATGATCTTAAGGGTCATTTCCAAGCTAAATGATTCTGTGATTCTGTGTCTCATGTATGTATGTATGTAAGTATGTATGTATTGGTAAATCAACAGATCCCTAGGTCTTTCAGGTTTTAGGACCTGTTGGTAAGCCCAATATTTTCCTTAATGTGATGGTGCTGGGGTAGTGTATTGTCTTTACATGACTTCTGTGAGAGGATTTGTATGGGATAAATCCAAGAGTGTTGGAGTAGGGAGCAGGGAATTAAGAGCAGGATCTGAGCAGCATTTGAGGATGGCTACATGGCACAGTGGGGCTCAGCATGCCAGCTAGTGCTGGTGGAGCAGTCATGTTAAATCTAGTCTTGACAGTGTGCGTCTTCACCCAGAACCTCTGACCTAGGTGTGGTTTCATTTTCACCTTGCACTACCTGAGAAACTGGTCATGATTTATGCGTCTTTCATTCTGGGTTGAAAAACCACTCACAAGAAGCTGGATGAACTATCTGATGGATACACATTTTTCCAATGCTTTCCCACTATTTCCCATCTTATCCCTGCATCAGACTGAGCTTCAGAGCACAGCATTAAGCTGTTTTGATTTTATAACAAGCATCCGTAGAGACTAGATGCACCTTGCCTTTTTCTTTCATTTTCTTGGCAATAATGGGATGTTGGTTTTTTAGTGACAGTGTATTACAAAGTGTACAGACAACGGTCCCCTCCCAGGTCAGTTGTCTTGCCTCTTTACTGTTAAAAACAGATGTTTCTGGGAGGTGATGAATCAGTATATTGGGGACTTGGGGTGTGAACATGGCATTGGCTAGGTAGCATAACTGGAAAAACGGGGTATGTTTCTAAAATCTTAGAAAGTGCTTGGGCAGGTAAGATGAGTTACAAAGCTTTAGTTAAGGAAAGGGATCCACTGCAAAATTGTCCCTGTGGGCAGGGAGTGTTACCACTGACTAGAAAGTAGGGTAGGATGTTTGGCTCAGTTATCCTGTCCTTTTTGAATCTTGAGACTAGTAAAATGATGTACCTGCCTGAAATCTGCCAAACGAGTTCCTTGTTTCCAGAGGTTCCTGTGTAGCAAATTGTAGTTTTGGGGCTTCGTGGTTGTCCTGCTTGCACATGCCTTTAGTCATAGAAGTTACTTTTAAAATGGTCATCAGCCCTGGGCTGTGCTTGTTTGGTATTCGCTTTAGTGCAAAGATTGTGTTTATGTAAATTAGATGCACTGTTCTGTGAATAGCTGCCAAAGACTCCTGTAACTGTGAGTGGAACCTATCATCTATTTATTTCTGAGTTACAAGGTATTTACTCTGCCTGCTGTGTTGATGAGCACACATAAATTTCTTGGACTATGTTGTGAAAGGTACTTTAAATAGTTTGGGCACAAGTCCCAAACCTGGGAGATCTTTGCTTTGAAGAAGGCTTCAAGTCACCTTAGATGCCTCTGGGCTGGATTCTCAAGTTAAGGGCTTACGCACCCACGTATGGGACTTCAGGTGTCTTGACAGAAGTTGAGGAGATGTTGCTGCAACCATGCCTCCCTTCAGTAGATAGAAGTAATTCTTCATTTCAGAAGATGAGCATTAGATGTTGATTATCACGTAGGTCTTGCTTTGTTAGCGTCAGTGTTAATCAGCCCCCCTAGCAGCTAGAAGAGGCTGCAGGGCTGTAGCCTTGCTATAGTTTCTCTTTTGATGCCATTGCTGCTACAGTTCCCAGTGGTGTGTGCTCACAGAAGAGACGGTGGGGATTATTGAATCATTCTGCAGGGATGATGAGGAAAAGCTTTCTCTTTCTCTTTCTCTGTAACCCCTTGATCTTGGTTTTAGCACAGTACAAATGTGCCAACTTTTGTTTGCAGCTGCTTCCCTCACTTGGCTGAACAGCCTACTTCACCACCTTACAGCTCTGGCCGTTTGCTTTGGAAGGTTGTTACAAATGACAGGTTTTGTAAATCCTGGTTGTCAGGAGACCTGTTAACAAGCCCTTGATAATATTAACTTGTTTTCTGGTCCTCTGAAATGTGTTGTCATAGCTGCCACCTAGTGCCGATGCTGATGTATGCAGAGATCGCCTCGGAATCAGCGCTGTAGAACTAAGTGGAAATTTTATAAATGAAGAAGCCAAAATGGCTCCAAAGGCCGTAATTAGGTCTCCATAAAAATGAATTCATCATCAAAAATCATTAGTGCCCAAAGTTTGGCTCCACGATCACTAAATGACTTCATTATTTGCACCCATTTCTACAGAAATGACTGAGAGTTTCTGGGATGTGAGGCTTTAAACTATTGCAGCACCTGCTTATCAAGGCAGAAACCTACATTTCTACTCATTTTAACCAAATTGTCCCTAACTACGTTGCAAAGGAGGAGAAGTGTGGGTGTGTACGTGACTTGTAATGCTCCTAAGCTTGTAGATCCAAGTAATAACAGAGGTTGGACAGAGCTCATATTTTTCGTTCTGGATGAAATTTTGTGGATGGATTTCTATCGCTGGGCTAGCAGTCCAATCCTAAAATTTATTGGGAACTGCATGTAGCAGGGTTTTGCTTATGTATATATAAGCAGTACCCTAGGCTTCCTCGGTGCTGCAGAGTTAAGGACAGACAGTGTAATACAGGCCTCCATCTATGAGTAAATTGAGTAAATACATTTTAATCCCCAGTTTCCCAGTCTGGTTTAGGCAGCCTTTCCTTCAGTTGGCTTTGGATTGAGTTCCGATTTCCCTGATGTGTACATCATTCAACAGCAATGACCTGTCCTGAAGGCCAAGTGTACCAGCAGTGTGGGACTCCATGCAACCAGACCTGCAGATCTCTGTCCTACCCAGATGAGGACTGTGATGAACTCTGCGTAGAAGGATGCTACTGTCCCCCTGGGCACTACCTGGATGAGCATGAGCAGTGTGTGCCCAAGTCCCACTGCTCTTGTTACTATGATGGTGAGATCTTCCAGCCAGAGGACATCTTTTCGGATCATTACACCATGTGGTAAGCGCAATGTTTCTAACTTATCTCTACATGATGTGACTCAAATTTTTGGATAACCTGGGTGGTTAACTGTTTCAGTTCCTCAGTTCCTTTACCTCCACTGAAACTAGTTTAAAAGAGAGCAAGATTTTGCCTCCAACAAACTAAATGGTGGATTTTGCTGTTGCATCTCTGTCCATAATAATTTCAAATTAGAAAACAGTGCTAAGCCCTGTTCCTTGAACAGTTCCTGCCAGTTTGAAATGGGGTTTAATTACTGACAATAGCTACTTTGTAGGCTTTTAAAATGTCACTTTGATGTACTGAGATACATTTCTTAAATGTTAAAAACCTAATTACCTCTATCAAAGATACAAATATTAAAGAGCATTTCTAATTGTTAAATCCAGTAGCAGTACACCGAGAGTAGCAATGTAATTGCTGGGCAGCTCCTGGCAAGCCCAGTTTTGGGAACAGTGTCTTCTGTTTTCTCCTCTACCACAGAAGTCGTAAGTTGCAGGCACTAAGTGGTCCCTTACCTCTCTCCACAGCAGACCAGACTATTATCCTGCGCAGCTTTATATCTGTGTAGATGCGTTGGATTCAGCAGTACAGGGCTAACATGCAGCTGGGTTACCATGCTAGTATATCACCGCAACTGTCTTAAGGAAGGTTTGCCTTTAAGGTTGATAAGCACAGTGGATGGAGAGCAACAAATCAGCCCCAATGGGGGGTGTAATTTTGGTGCTCTGACAAGTTCCCTGCGGGCCTGTCTGCAAATAACAGTGTGAGTGAAAGCTAAATGTCACTTTGTTAAATATAAGCTCTAATTGTTTTTCTTAGCTATTGTGAAAATGGCTTCATGCACTGCAGTACAAACAGAGTTCCTGGTGCCTTCCTGCCAGATGTTTTTGCTGATGAGAGGCCGTCTGCCAGAAGTTAGTAAGCCTTAAAAAATTTATATTTTTTCTGATTTTTTTTGTTTTCTTTTCTTTGTCTTCAGTGTCTTGATAATCTAGAATAGGGAAGAAGTACCAGAAGTTGCAGTGGGTGGTGATATTTTGAGTCTTTTTCTAATTTTTTCTAATTTTTTCTAGGTTTTTTTTTGTTACAGGATAGGAACAAAATGTTTGCGTAGGAGGGTGCAGGGGTCGTTGTGTCCCACCTCTCAAAACTGTAGTTAGCCATTGCAGTCTCTTTTTAGTTGAAGAGGTACCTTAGTGGTGATCTGAGGCCCCCAGCTGCTATTTGAGGATCACACGATGTCAGTAACCAGCCCGCTGTATACCTCCTACTTCTGACTACCAGGTTGCAAGCTCTGCTTTCTGGTGCAGAGTGCTGCCAGGCACTGAGTGTGCTCTCCAGCCGCCACGCATCTCGCCATAAAACCTCCTGGAGACTAATAACTGCCTTGCAGAACTAGGCACTGCACTGGAAAATCAAACATCAGTGGTCTGGGTTTTTTTGAGGTTCCTCACTGATGTATGGGTGGAGCTTATGGGATTGTGATGGGAGAGGATGTCTTGGTAGACAAGTAATGGCCCCCACTGTCCTTCAGGAGAAGCCTTCTAGGTGTGTATCTCACCAAACTATTGCTGTAATGTTATTAAGACATAATTTTCCTGATACTAGTGTGTTAAGATTTACAAAACCTCAGAGAGGAATATTTCTAGCATCACTTGAAATAATAACCTGGAGTTTCTTGGGAAATCCTGATCTTCTACCAGAACATGAGTTCTCAAAGAGTTTGAAAACTTTCTGTTTAACCTAAGGGTGTTGTTATTAACAGTCACCCGTGCAGTTATACTCTGTGTTGGAAATGAGTTTAAACACAATAATATATGGTGCTATTCCTTCTCAGAACATTGATTTCATGCTGACATTGCTAAAATGTGCTCATAGCCTTAGTGCAATCTGGAATTGAACCCTTATGCAGCTCCTTTTGCTCTTATGATAGCCTAACTGAGGTCACTTCATGGGAAGTGGGGACTTTCACCTTTATAATGTCATCATTGTGGTGTAGTGGTATTGCTCCATTCTATATCGTAAATTAGTTTTCTAAGAAAAGTGTTGATCTGTCCTTTAGAAAAAAACTGTGCTAACAATACTTGAGTTCTAATTGCAATTTTTGTAAATTTATTTTTTGAAGTAAAAAGGAGCTTAACATGCAGATACCCCATGGAAAGATTTGTCTGTCCTGCAAACAACCCAAGAGCTGAAGGGTTGGAGTGTGCCAAGACTTGCCAGAATTACGACTTGGAGTGCATCAGCCATGGCTGCATATCTGGATGCCTCTGTCCAAAAGGGATGGTAAGCGGACTCCTCTTTATTTTCTTGCCATCATTTTTTTCCTATCAGCAGTCATCTTGCAGCTTGGAAATATGTGGTTGTGAAGTATCAACTCTGCCAAATTGTGGCTGGTTTAAAATATGCATATTAGTGTATCTGCATAGAAGATGAAGTTTAGCTTGTAATAATAATTGATAATCAAAAAGCCAAACCCCACTTTTTCTAAGTCCAATTTATGTCTTCACAGAATCACAGAATGTTAG